ATTTAAACAAATGAGAACAGAATCATATGAAAAGTATTGTGAGCATTGCATTATGAAAGGCAATTACTTTATATGAAAGGTATTTCTAGATGAAACACTGATTAGATTTGGTGAAAAAGTTGTGTGATTTTTGTTGTTGTACTTAGTCAATTGAAAATGTGCTTAAAGTTTTGAAAAAACAGCCATTTAGATGATCTGTTTTGAGTTTTGAGTTGTGAAATTTTACCACATACTTGTGAAAGTAGTACCAAAGTGATAAAAATAACTAAGTGTGGTAGTATCCAGAACACGTGGTAGCAGACACAATGCAGCAGGTGTCAGAGACATGCTGCAAGCCTGTTTGTTCTCTTGTGAATCTCAAATAGGCCTCCATACCAAATGATAATGTGAAAAGTTCAGATAGACAGACTGGGCTAGTTGCCTGTGACAGGAGCATGAATAAACGTTTGTTTTATCGTGATGATAAAAGGTCCAAAAGCTATGTGGTTATACACCTTTGTTCAGAAGCAGCCTCATGGCCAATCATGTCATGTTACAGTGGGTCTGTAGAAATAGATAACGGCAGCAGACTATAATTAGATTGGACTAGTAGCTTAAATTGTTAGCTAACAAGCATGTTGTTTTGTTTGACACACAAATAAAGTTATTCTATAAATGATCCACCAGATAATTTTCAGTCTCACCCAGGTACAGTACGTCAAGAAAGAACATTCCTTGTGTGATAGCAGGCTACAGTAATCACAAAACAAGATAACACTGTTGAAGATAATATATAATACGGGTTCCACGCTAGGCTGCGGTAATCACAACACTGTTGAAGGTAAATATATAATACGGGTTCCACGTTAGGCTGCGGTAATCACAACACTGTTGAAGATAATACGGGTTCCACGCTAGGCTGCGGTAATCACAACACTGTTGAAGATAATACGGGTTCCACGCTAGGCTGCGGTAATCACAACACTGTTGAAGATAATACGGGGGTTCCACGCTAGGCTGCGGTAATCACAACACTGTTGAAGATAATACGGGTTCCACGCTAGGCTGCGGTAATCACAACACTGTTGAAGATAATACGGGTTCACGTTAGGCTGCGGTAATCACAACACTGTTGAAGATAATACGGGTTCCACGTTAGGCTGCGGTAATCACAACACTGTTGAAGATAATACGGGTTCCACGTTAGGCTGCGGTAATCACAACACTGTTGAAGATAATACGGGTTCCACGTTAGGCTGCGGTAATCACAACACTGTTGAAGATAATACGGGTTCCACGCTAGGCTGCGGTAATCACAACACTGTTGAAGATAATACGGGTTCCACGTTAGGCTGCGGTAATCACAACACTGTTGAAGATAATACGGGTTCCACGTTAGGCTGCGGTAATCACAACACTGTTGAAGATAATACGGGGTTCCACGTTAGGCTGCGGTAATCACAACACTGTTGAAGATAATACGGGGTTCCACGTTAGGCTGCGGTAATCACAACACTGTTGAAGATAATACGGGTTCCACGCTAGGCTGCGGTAATCACAACACTGTTGAAGATAATACGGGTTCCACGTTAGGCTGCGGTAATCACAACACTGTTGAAGATAATACGGGTTCCACGTTAGGCTGCGGTAATCACAACACTGTTGAAGATAATACGGGTTCCACGTTAGGCTGCGGTAATCACAACACTGTTGAAGATAATACGGGTTCCACGTTAGGCTGCGGTAATCACAACACTGTTGAAGATAATACGGGTTCCACGCTAGGCTGCGGTAATCACAACACTGTTGAAGATAATATATAATACGGGGTTCCACGTTAGGCTGCGGTAATCACAACACTGTTGAAGATAATACGGGTTCCACGTTAGGCTGCGGTAATCACAACACTGTTGAAGATAATACGGGGTTCCACGTTAGGCTGCGGTAATCACAACACTGTTGAAGATAATACGGGGTTCCACGCTAGGCTGCGGTAATCACAACACTGTTGAAGATAATACGGGGTTCCACGTTAGGCTGCGGTAATCACAACACTGTTGAAGATAATACGGGGTTCCACGTTAGGCTGCGGTAATCACAACACTGTTGAAGATAATACGGGTTCCACGTTAGGCTGCGGGTAATCACAACACTGTTGAAGATAATACGGGGTTCCACGTTAGGCTGCGGTAATCACAAACACTGTTGAAGATAATACGGGGTTCCACGTTAGGCTGCGGTAATCACAACACTGTTGAAGATAATACGGGTTCCACGTTAGGCTGCGGTAATCACAAACACTGTTGAGATAATATATAATACGGGGTTCCACGTTTGGCTGCGGTAATCACAACACTGTTGAAGATAATACGGGTTCCACGTTAGGCTGCGGTAATCACAACACTGTTGAAGATAATACGGGTTCCACGTTAGGCTGCGGTAATCACAACACTGTTGAAGATAATACGGGTTCCACGTTAGGCTGCGGTAATCACAACACTGTTGAAGATAATACGGGTTCCACGTTAGGCTGCGGTAATCACAACACTGTTGAAGATATACGGGTTCCACGCTAGGCTGCGGTAATCACACACTGTTGAAGATAATACGGGGTTCCACGCTTTGGCTGCGGTAATCACACACTGTTGAAGATATACGGGGTTCCACGTTAGGCTGCGGTAATCACAACACTGTTGAAGATATACGGGTTCCACGTTAGGCTGCGGTAATCACAACACGTTGAAGATAATACGGGTTCCACGTTAGGCTGCGGTAATCACAACACTGTGAAGATAATACGGGTTCCACGTTAGGCTGCGGTAATCACAACACTGTTGAAGATAATACGGGTTCCGTAGGCTGCGGTAATCACAACACTGTTGAAGATACGGGTTTCCACGTTAGGCTGCGGTATACAACACTGTTGAAGATATACGGGGTTCCACGCTAGGCTGCGGTACACAACATGTGAAGAAAGGGTCACTCGGTGTGAAGATAATACGGGTTCCACGTTAGGCTGCGGTAATACAACACTGTGAAGATAATACGGGTTCCACGTTAGGCTGCGGTAATCACAACACTGTTGAAGATAATACGGGGTCCACGTTAGGCTGCGGTATCACAACATGTTGAAGATAAACGGGTTCCACGTTAGGCTGGGTAATCACAACACTGGTTGAAGATAATACGGGTTCCCGTTAGGCTGCGGTAATCACAACACTGTTGAAATAATACGGGGTTCCACGTTAGGCTGCGGTAATCCAAAAGTTGAAGATAATACGGGTTCCACGTTAGGTGCGGTAATCACAACACTGTTGAAGATAATACGGGTTCCACGTTAGGTGCGGTAATCAAACACTGTTGAAGATAATAGGGTTCCACGTAGGTGCGGTAATCAAACACTGTGAGATAATACGGGTTCCACGTTAGGCTGCGGTAACCAACACTGTTGATAATACGGATTGGCGTAATCCACAACACTGTTGAAGATAATACGGGTTCCACGTAGGCTGCGGTAATCACAACACTGTTGAAGATAATACGGGGTTTCCACGTTAGCGTGGCCTGTTGAAGGGTATAGGGGTTCCAACTGCAATCCACACTGTTGAAGATAATACGGGTTCCACGTTAGGCTGCGGTAATCACAACACTGTTGAAGATAATACGGGTTCCACGTTAGGCTGCGGTAATCACAACACTGTTGAAGATAATACGGGGTTCCACGTTAGGCTGCGGTAATCACAACACTGTTGAAGATAAATATATAATACGGGGTTCCACGCTAGGCTGCGGTACCGTCAATTGACTGCATGCCTGATGCATCATCTGCATCATCAAGTGTCAAAATCCGACATAACAATAAAGTTTTACTTTATAGAATGAACCATATTTGGACGAATGTTTTATCACCAGTGATTTACATACATTTTAGCAGACGCTTTTATCCAGAATTTAGGGTTAAGTGTCTTGCTCAAGGGCACATCGACAGATTTTTCACCTTGTCGGCTCAGGGATTAGAACCAGCGACCTTTCGGTGACTGGCACAACGCTCTTAACCACTAAACTACCTGCCGCCGCAACATTGACGGAGTTCTATTAACCTGAGCCGCGGTGCACCGGTCTATGGCCCGTGACGTGACAGAAAGAAACGGTGAGGGAAGAGCGTTCTTCTCATATCTCTCTGTGTTGTTGTTTTTATCGCACTGCTTTGCTTTATCTTGGCCAGGTCGCAGTTGTAAATGAGAACTTGTTCTCAACTGGCTTCCTGGTTAAATAAAGGTGAAATAAAAATAAAAGAAAATATCAAACAATAATCTGCGCCACTCAGTCATGTTGTCAACAAGGCAGCATGGTGCATAGTTCAGAAACATACAATTAATATTTTCCATAAAACATATGTTCAAATTGTTCAACTAGTTTTCATTGGGAAGGCAGATAAAGCGTAATTATCAAACGCAATCACTGTTGCATGTGAAAACACAGGATTGTCGTCATTCCTCCACGTGCTAATCTATCCTACGCCACGTCACTTTAGTTTTGATCTGATTTCGTCGTGGGCTTTGAAGGGAGGCAGCCGGTTCCAAAACAAATGCAATCACTTTTCACCGATTTAAACCCCTCTCACCGGGGGTAATCCGGGCCAGATAATCGAAACCCCTCACTGTTTACCACCCTGCACACTGAGCGCCGCTACGACAACGCCCAGCTCCCAAAATGCAGAACACTGTTTGATTGGCTGATATTGTCCACGTTGTCCCCTCACAGACTGTTGTTGTCCTGTGATTCGCTGTTACTAAGTAACGGATTGCAAAGTATTGATTGGCTGTTGAACTGTATAAGGAAAAGGAAAGCTCAACCGAAAGACAGGTTTACGAGTGTGTGATAGGAAGCCCGAAAACGAGGAGGAAAGAAGACCGAAATACCTGTACATTTTATACAAAGTAGGCGAGATATCTTCTGGGGACAGACTCTTATCATATTTTACTATACACTTTTGATTTGTTTATTGTTAATAGGACAAAATGGGTTGCTGGTTCTCCAAAAAATCAAAGAGAAAATCACCCGAAAAGGAGCCTACTCCGACGACTGTGGAAGAGAAGAGGAACAGCAGTAGCAACGCCAACAACATTTCCCTCAGCAGCAAGGCAACGGAGGATCCACCTAAACAATACAGCTGGGACAAACGTGAAAAGGTATGGAGAGGATGCATGCATGGCCAGGGAGACTAGCGGTGAGGATGTATGCATGGCCAGGGAGACTAGCGGTGAGGATGCATGCATGGCCAGGGAGACCAGCGGTGAGGATGCATGCATGGCCAGGGAGACTAGCGGTGAGGATGCATGCATGGCCAGGGAGACTAGCGGTGAGGATGCATGCATGGCCTGGGAGACTAGCGGTGAGGATGTATGCATGGCCAGGGAGACTAGCGGTGAGGATGTATGCATGGCCAGGGAGACCAGCGGTGAGGATGCATGGCCAGGGAGACTAGCGGCGAGGATGCATGCATGGCCAGGGAGACCAGCGGTGAGGATGCATGCATGGCCAGGGAGACCAGCGGTGAGGATGCATGCATGGCCTGTAAATGTAAATGAGACTAGCTCCTGAAAAACGGTCAAAGAACGTTGTTTGAGCTGGAACACTAGCGCGAGGCCATAGCAAATGAATTGAAACGAATCTTAAAATGCCATTTAGCAGACTTGTGTATGGGTGGTCCCGGGGATCGAACCCACTACCCTGGCGTTACAAGCGCCGTGCTCTACCAGCTGAGCTACAGAGGACCAATCTTCGCTGAACCTCTTCTGACTGGAATGATCCTTAGAAGTCCATGTTCCCTAAATGGCACCAACAAATGTATACCTTTTTATTTTACCACTACAATCTGTTCTTAGGACGAAACTGAAAAAGAACAACTCGTGTAGAAAGTAAACATCCGCACCTCAAGTGTGCTTATGTCTGCATAACGAGGAAGTAGGGAAAAAAATTGCAACTTCTGACTATTTCGGGTCTAGTGATCGATGACAGCAGAGTATGCTGCCCAGCCTTACATAATTAGAAAGAGGAGATTCTCATGATTAAAATGGTGTCCGACTTGAAAAAATCAAAATACACACATCGTGAAATATTTGGCAAAATAGACATACATGTCCGTGTAGAATTTTCCCATAGGGAAACAATGGGGCAGCCTCAGAGTTCCGACAATAATGTGTACTTTTTTTACATTTTAAATGCTAGCTTTTGATGACAACTGAGTACACTGCCCAGCCTTACATCATTAGAAAGAGGAGATTATCCTGATTTAAAATTGTGTTTGACTTGAAGTAATCAAAGTATACACATTGCGAGATATGTTGTGAAATAATCACACACCTATATTTCCCCTGTAGGAAACAACGGGACGACCTCAGACTTCCAGGAGTATCATTTTATTTGTTGACGTTTTAACTACCAGTAATTGGTCACAGCATTGTACGCTGCCCAAACTTACATCATTAGAAATAATAGGTTATCCTGATTTTAAAATGGTGTAGAACTTCAAACCATTAAAATGCATACATTTTGAGATATTTGGCGAAATAGACAGACCTCCCTATTTCCCCAAAACAATGGCAGTCTGAAAGTTATAAGAGCAGTCTTTTTATTTAACCAGCTGACCATTTATCTACGACCATTTGCCTTTATGTGTTGAACATTTTGTGGTTTCTAATCTAGCAGTTAAGAGCATTGGGCAGTAACCGAAAGTTGGCTGGTTCGAATCCCCGAACCAACTAGGTGAAATATCTGTTATGTACATTTACATTACATTTTAGTCATTTAGCAGACGCTCTTGTCCAGAGCGACTTACAGTTAGTGCATACATTATTTTTATATTTTTCATACTGGCCCCCCATGGGAATCGAACCCACAACCCTGGCGTTGCAAACACCATGCTCTACCAACTGAGCTACATCCCTGCCGGCCATTCCCTCCCCTACCCTGGACGACGCTGGGCCAATTGTGCGCCGCCCCATGGGTCTCCCGGTCGCGGCCGGGGTTGTGGGCGCCGCCCCATGGATCTCTAGTGGCACAGCTAGCACTGTGATGCAGTGCCTTAGACCACTGCGCCACTCGGGAGCCCCTTGAGCAAGGCACTTGCCGTAGTCGCTCTGGATAAGAGCGTCTGTTAAATGACGTAAATGTAAACAAGGCCTCTATGGGAAAGTGTGGCAATAACTTATTAACTTTTCATTATTCACAGATCTACTTTTTTTTAAATGAATTAACTAAATGTAAGGTGTTTGTCAATTTCATTGTTTGTTATGCTATAAATTGTTATTTTATAGTTGTAAGTGATAAAATGTACTAGAAAATTGTATATTTAGCAATTCTGAGCAATTACTACTTTAGGAAGGATATACACTTTATTCAGTACTACTGCAGTTGCTAAATAATTCCAATAGATGGCAGCATAAGACCACGAATGACATTTCAGAAGCTTAGTTTAGTTTTTTCCCTGGATACACCACCACTCCCCCTCACAGGAAAACTCCTGCACACGCTTTTTACTGTCCCTTTCCACACTGCTAACGCAAGAGGAACGACTGAAAAAGCATTTAACACATTACTGTGAAGTAATATAATGATGATTCATGTTTATTATTACCTGTTTTTATGCTCATGTTTTGAAATTATACTTCATTACAATAACGATTATCATAAGCCTAAACATTAATTCAGTCACATCTGATCGACAAAAACGTATTTCCCAAGTACATTCATTGTCAAATTCATCAAGCAGCATCGACCCGCTCTGCCAACTCAACAAGCCCCGCGGCAGCGAGCACTCTGCCTTCCTCGTAAATGTGTTAACCGCGGATTGCATGATGTAATTTATTGGCGGGCAGGAAGATTTACCCTTGTCTTTTCTATTCCGAGGCTGTTTACACCCAATATGATACGTTAAGAGGGTTTATTAAAACGTATGTCTACTAGGGTTGAGGTTAGCGCATCTGACTAGTGATTTAATTGGCCGGGGTTCAATAACTGATATAGTCACTATTTTTTTGCTCACCCAAAAGCAACACAGGCCTAATACGATATATATATATATATATATACACCCCTCTTCCTGGGGTCCAGCAAAATTAAGGCAGTTCATATAATTTTTGTAACATTACAATACATTCATAACAGATTTCACAACACACTGTGTGCCCTCAGGCCCCTACTCCACCACTACCACATATTTACAACACAAAATCCATGTGTACGTGTGTGTGTATAGTGCGTATGTTATCGTGTGTGTGTGCATGTGTCTATGTTTGTGTTGCTTCACAGTCCCCGCTGTTCCATAAGGTGTTTTTTTTATCTGTTTTTTTTTTTAAATCAAATTTTACTGCTTGCATCAGTTACCTGATGTGGAATAGAGTTCCATGTAGTCATGGCTCTATGTAGTACTGTGCGCCTCCCATAGTCTGTTCTGGACTTGGGGACTGTGAAGAGACCTCTGGTGGCATGTCTTGTGGGGTATGCATGGGTGTCCGAACTGTGTGCCAGTAGTTCAAACAGACAGCTCAGTGCTTTCAACATGTCAATACCTCTCACAAATACAAGTAGTGATGAAGTCAATCTCTCCTCCACTTTGAGCCAGGAGAGATTGACATGCAAATTATTAATATTAGCTCTCTGTGTACATCTAAGGGCCAGCCGTGCTGCCCTGTTCTGAGGCAATTGCAATTTTCCTAAGTCCGTTTTTGTGGCACCTGACCACACGACTGACCAGTAGTCCAGGTGCGACAAAACTAGGGCCTGTAGGACCTGCCTTGTTGATAGTGCTGTTAAGAAGGTAGAGCAGCGCTTTTATTATGGACATACAGTGGGGAAAAAAAGTATTTAGTCAGCCACCAATTCCAGGCTACCTGGACTATTTGCATTGTCCCCCCAACCCCACCCCACCCCCTCTTTTACGCTGCTGCTACTCTCTGTTTATTATCTATGCATAGTCACTTTACCCCTACCTACAGTGGGGGGAAAAGTATTTAGTCAGCCACCAATTGTGCAAGTTCTCCCACTTAAGAAGATGAGAGAGGCCTGTAATTTTCATCATAGGTACACGTCAACTTTGACAGACAAATTGAGGGGAAAAAATCCAGAAAATCACATTGTAGGATTTTTAATGAATTTATTTGCAAATTATGGTGGAAAATAAGTATTTGGTCACCTACAAACAAGCAAGAATTCTGGCTCTCACAGACCTGTAACTTCTTCTTTAAGAGGCTCCTCTGTCCTCCACTCGTTACCTGTATTAATGGCACCTGTTTGAACTTGTTATCAGTATAAAAGACACCTGTCCACAACCTCAAACAGTCACACTCCAAACTCCACTATGGCCAAGACCAAAGAGCTGTCAAAGGACACCAGAAACAAAATTGTAGACCTGCACCAGGCTGGGAAGACTGAATCTGCAATAGGTAAGCAGCTTGGTTTGAAGAAATCAACTGTGGGAGCAATTATTAGGAAATGGAAGACATACAAGACCACTGATAATCTCCCTCGATCTGGGGCTCCACGCAAGATCTCACCCCGCGGGGTCAAAATGATTACAAGAACGGTGAGCAAAAATCCCAGAACCACACGGGGGGACCTAGTGAATGACCTGCAGAGAGCTGGGACCAAAGTAACAAAGCCTACCATCAGTAACACACTACGCCGCCAGGGACTCAAATCCTGCAGTGCAAGACGTGTCCCCCTGCTTAAGCCAGTACATGTCCAGGCCCGTCTGAAGTTTGCTAGAGTGCATTTGGATGATCAAGAAGAGGATTGGGAGAATGTCATATGGTCAGATGAAACCAAAATATAACTTTTTGGTAAAAACTCAACTTGTCATGTTTGGAGGACAAAGAATGCTGAGTTGCATCCAAAGAACACCATACCTACTGTGAAGCATGGGGGTGGAAACATCATGCTTTGGGGCTGTTTTTCTGCAAAGGGACCAGGACGACTGATCCGTGTAAAGGAAAGAATGAATGGGGCCATGTATCGTGAGATTTTGAGTGAAAACCTCCTTCCATCAGCAAGGGCATTGAAGATGAAACGTGGCTGGGTCTTTCAGCATGACAATGATCCCAAACACACCGCCCGGGCAACGAAGGAGTGGCTTCGTAAGAAGCATTTCAAGGTCCTGGAGTGGCCTAGCCAGTCTCCAGATCTCAACCCCATAGAACATCTTTGGATGGAGTTGAAAGTCCGTGTTGCCCAGCGACAGCCCCAAAACATCACTGCTCTAGAGGAGATTTGCATGGAGGAATGGGCCAAAATACCAGCAACAGTGTGTGAAAACCTTGTGAAGACTTACAGAAAACGTTTGACCTGTGTCATTGCCAACAAAGGGTATATAACAAAGTATTGAGAAACTTTTGTTATTGAACAAATACTTATTTTCCACCATAATTTGCAAATAAATTCATAAAAAATCCTACAATGTGATTTTCTGGATATTTTTTTCCTCATTTTGTCTGTCATAGTTGACGTGTACCTATGATGAAAATTACAGGCCTCTCTCATCTTTTTAAATGGGAGAACTTGCACAATTGGTGGCTGACTAAATACTTTTTTCCCCCACTGTATTTGTATCGTCTGAACTATTGTCTGTCTCTTTGCAGGTTGACCCTAAGGACTTCATGCTAACAGGGCTGAAGGATGCCACGGTGGGCCGTCTGCCAGGCAAGCTGAACGGACAGCAGTTTGTCATCCAGGACTGTGAGAACTGCAACATCTTCGTGTTTGACCACTCCGCCACCATCACCATCGACGACTGCACCAACTGCTGCATCGTTATGGGGCCAGTGAAGGGCAGTGTGTTCTTCAGGGACTGTAAGGATATCAGGTGTGTGGTGGCCTGCCAGCAGTTCAGGACCAGGGACTGTAAGAAGATGGAGGTGTTCCTGTGTTGCGCCACCCAGCCCATCATCGAGGCGTCCACGGGGATGAAGTTCGGCTGCTTCCAGTACTACTACCCCGAGCTGGCCTTCCACTTCAAGGACGCAGGCCTCAGCATCTTCAACAACAACTGGAGCAACGTCCATGACTTCACGCCTGTCTCAGGGGAGACCAACTGGAGCCTGCTGGCTGAGGACACTGTGGTGCTGGACCATGTCCCAGCCCCTGATCCGGAGTCTGAGTTTAAATCAGTCCGGGTCTCAGCTGAGGCATCCCGCAGCATCGTGCCCATGACCAAAGGAGGCAGACGCAAGGACAGTGACGAGTCCTGTCTGTTTGTGTTCTTCGCTGGGGACTACACCACTGCTAATGCCCGGAAACTCATTGATGAGGTGAGGAGGATAAGAGCGTCTGCTAAATGACTTAAATGTTTAAAAAATAACTAAATGAGGAGGAGGGAAGGTCAGACACAGTTAAAGGTCTCCTTCGCTTGCTGCAATGGTTCTATTTTGGTCCTTTCCGATAAGGTCCTTCTGATCTAAACTACTGGTCATCCTCCAGATGAGGAAGTGTCTCATGGTCCGTCTGATCTAAACTACTGGTCATCCTCCAGATGAGGAAGTGTCTCATGGTCCTTATGATCTAAACTACTGGTCATCCTCCAGATGAGGCAGTGTCCCATGGTCCGTCTGATCTAAACTACTGGTCATCCTCCAGATGAGGAGGTGTCTCATGGTCCTTATAATCTAAACTACTGGTCATCCTCCAGATGAGGAAGTGTCCCATGGTCCGTCTGATCTAAACTACTGGTCATCCTCCAGATTAGGAAGTGTCCCATGGTCCGTCTGATCTAAACTACTGGTCATCCTCCAGATGAGGAAGTGTCCCATGGTCCTTATGATCTAAACTACTGGTCATCCTCCAGATGAGGAAGTGTCCCATGGTCCTTATGATCTAAACTACTGGTCATCCTCCAGATGAGGAAGTGTCCCATGGTCCTTATGATCTAAACTACTGGTCATCCTCCAGATGAGGAAGTGTCTCATGGTCCTTATGATCTAAACTACTGGTCATCCTCCAGATTAGGAAGTGTCTCATGGTCCTTATGATCTAAACTACTGGTCATCCTCCAGATGAGGAAGTGTCTCATGGTCCTTATGATCTAAACTACTGAGTCCCCTGTAGCTCAGTTGGTAGAGCATGGCGCTTGCAACGCCAGGGTTGTGGGTTCGTTTCCCACGGGGGGCCAGTATGACAATGGTCCTCTGTAGCTCAGCTGGTAGAGCACGGCGCTTGTAACGCCAAGGTAGTGGGTTCGATCCCCGGGACCACCAATACACAAACAAATGTATGCACGCATGACTGTAAGTCGCTTTGGATAAAAGCGTCTGCTAAATGGCATATTATTATTATTATTATTATTATTATTATTATTATTATTACAATGTATGCACCCACTAACTGTAAGTGGCTCTGGATAAGAGCGTCTGCTAAATGACTATCCTCCAGATTTGTTCACTTCCTTCCTCCTCCACACAGACAGTCATTTAGAAATGCAGAACAATTCAAGTTGTTACGTTCTTATGAGTGTTTTGGCCAAGCGATCAATGACACTCCTTGATTGAGCAATATTGAAACGGAGAGATATTGTTGCCAAATGTTGAATTATAATTATTAGAGAGTAGACACTAGGGCTGTCCCCGCCGAAAAAAATTATCTTGGTCGACCAAGAATCATCTGTTCATTTGACCAATCGATTGGTCTAAATTTTTAAAAAAAAGTGTATTTTTCGATATCTAGACCCATCCTATGTGTTTTAATCAAATCAACTATATGCACTGAGACTGTCTGATGCTTTAAAAACACAGTTTGATTAAATAATTAAGACACATAAACGACTAGAGGGAGTCCAACCAATTGATTGTGCCGGGCTGAGCTCAGACATGCTGCACTGTGTTAAATTTGACTAGTTGTGGAAAATACTGGGGATCAAGAAACAGACGGTATGGAGCAGCGCTGCCTGTATATTATGTGGGCCAAACAGGTGCTGTTAGATTACTATATCATTTCTCTGACCGTTTGGAACAATGTAAACAACACTAAATCAATTATGAGCGTACCAGAGAGTCTGTTGTAATGTTTAAAAAAATATGTTTGTAAAGCTTTATTACAGAAAATACTAAAAACTGTTGGTGTTGTTAACTAGCTGTTGGTGTTGGGGAATCATCATTGTTAACTAGCCTGTTGGGGAATCATCATTGTTAACTAGCCTGTTGGGGAATCATCATTGTTAACTAGCCTGTTGGGGAATCATCATTATTAACTAGCCTGTTGGGGAATCATCATTGTTAACTAGCCTGTTGGGGAATCATCATTGTTAACTAGCCTGTTGGGGAATCATCATTGTTAACTAGCCTGTTGGTGTTGGGGAATCATCATTGTTAACTAGCCTGTTGGTGTTGGGGAATCATCATTGTTAACTAGCCTGTTGGGGAATCATCATTGTTAACTAGCCTGTTGGGGAATCATCATTATTAACTAGCCTGTTGGTGTTGGGGAATCATCATTGTTAACTAGCCTGTTGGGAAATCATCATTGTTAACTAGCCTGTTGGGGAATCATCATTGTTAACTAGCCTGTTGGGGAATCATCATTGTTAACTAGCCTGTTGGGGAATCATCATTATTAACTAGCCTGTTGGGGAATCATCATTATTAACTAGCCTGTTGGGGAATCAACATTGTTAACTAGCCTGTTGGGGCTTCATCATTGTTAACTAGCCTGTTGGGGCTTCATCATTGTTAACTAGCCTGTTGGGAATCATCATTGTTAACTAGCCTGTTGGTGTTGGGGAATCATCATTGTTAACTAGCCTGTTGGGGCTTCATCATTGTTAACTAGCCTGTTGGTGTTGGGGAATCATCATTGTTAACTAGCCTGTTGGTGTTGGGGAATCATCATTGTTAACTAGCCTGTTGGGGAATCATCATTGTTAACTAGCCTGTTGGGGAATCATCATTATTAACTAGCCTGTTGGTGTTGGGGGAATCATCATTATTAACTAGCCTGTTTGGTGTTGGGGAATCATCATTGTTAACTAGCATGTTGGGGAATCAATCATTGTTAACTAGCCTGTTGGGGCTTCATCATTGTTAACTAGCCTGTTGGGGCTTCATCATGTTAACTAGCCTGTTGGGGAATCAATCATTGTTAAACTAGCCTGTTGGTGTTTGGGGAATCATCATTGTTAACTAGCCTGTTGGGGAATCATCATTGTTAACTAGCCTGTTGGTGTTGGGGAATCATCAGTTAACTACCCTTTTTGGGGAAAATCATCATTTTTTAACTAGCCTGTTGGGGAATAACTTTTAAACTACCGTTGGGGAATATCTTGTTAACTACCTGTTGGTGTTGGGGAATTCTTGTTAACTACCCTTTTGGGGTTTGGGGAATCATTTGGAACTAGCCGTTGGGGAATCATCATTGTTAACTGCCTGTTGGGATCATCATTGTAACTAGCCTTTGGGAATCCATGTTAACTACCGTTGGGCTTCACATTTTTAAAACTAGTGTTGGTTTTGGGGAATCTCTTTGTTAAACTACCTGTTGGGGCTTCATCATGGTTAACTAGCCTGTTGGTGTTAGGGAATCATCATTTTTAATAGCCGGTTGGTGTAGGGAATAATCATGTAACTAGCCTTTTGGTGTAGGAATCATCATTGTTACTAGCCTGTTGGGGAATCAATCATTGTTAAAGCCTTTTGGGGAATCATCATTTTAACTAGCCTGTTGGTGTTGGGAATCATCAGTTATAGCCGTGGGGAATCTCTTGTTAACTAAGTGTTGGTGTTGGGAAATCATTTAACTAGCTTTGGGGAAAATCTTGTTAACTAGCTGTTGGGGCTTCACCCATTGTTAACTAGCCGTTGGTTTTGGGGGAATCACATTGTTAACTGCCTGTTGGTTTTGGGGAATCATCATTGTTAACTAGCTTTGGTGTTGGGGAATAAACATTAAACTAGCCTGTTGGTGTTGGGAATCATCATGTTAACTAGCCTGTTGGTGTTGGGGAATCATATTGTAACAGCTGTTGGGGCTTCTTTCATTGTTAACTACCTTTGGGAATCATCATTATTAAACTAGCCTGTGGTTTTGGGGGAAATCATCAGTTACTGCTGTTGGTGTTGGGGAATCATCATTGTTAACAGCTTTGGTGTTGGGAATCATCATGTTAAAGCCTGTTGGGGAATCTCATTGTTAACTAGCCGTTGGTGTTGGGGAATCATCATGTTAACTAGCCGGTTGGGGAATCATCCATTGTTAAACTAGCCTGTTGGGGCTTCATCATTGTTAATAGCCTGTTGGTGTTGGGGAATCATTCCTTGTTAAACTAAGCTTGTTGGGTGTTGGGGAATCATCATTGTTAACTAGCCTGTTGGTGTTGGGGAATCATCATTGTTAAATAGCCTGTTGGTTGTTGGGGAATCATCATTGTTAACTAGCCTGTTGGTGTTGGGGAATATCATTGTTAACTTAGCCCTGTTGGGGCTTTCATCATTGTTAACGAGCATGTTGGGGGAAATCAACATTTTAACTAGCCTTGTTGGGGGGAATCCATCATTGTTAACTAGACTGTTGGGGTTGGGGGAATCAATCATTGTAACTAGCCTGTTGGTGTTGGGGAAATCATCATTGGTAACTAGCCTGTTGGGGAATCACTCAATTGTTAAACTAGCCTGTTGGGGAATCATCATTATTAACTAGCCTGTTGGGGAATCATTCATTGTTAACTAGCCTGTTGGGAACTCATCATTGTTAAACTACCTTGTTTTGGGTGTTGGGGAATCATCATTGTTAACTAGCCTGTGGGGGAATCATCATTGTTAACTAGCCTGTTGGGGAATCATCATTGTTAACTAGCCTGTTGGGAATCATCATTGTTAACTAGCCTGTTTGTGTTGGGGGGAATCATCATTGTTAACTAGCCTGTTGGTGTTGGGGCTTCATCATTGTTAACTATGCCTGTTGGGTGTTAGGGAATCATCATTGTTAATAGCCTGTTGGTGTTGGGGAATCATCATTGTTAACTAGCCTTTGGGGAATCATCATTGTAACTAGCCTGTTGGTGTTGGGGAATCATCATTGTTAACTAGCCTGTTGGTGTTGGGGAATCATCATTGTTAACTAGCCTGTTGGTGTTGGGGAAATCATATGTTAACTAGCCTGTTGGTGTTGGGGAATCATCATTGTTAACTAGCCTGTTGGTGTTGGGGAATCATCATTGTTAACTAGCCTGTTGGTGTTGGGGAATCATCATTGTTAACTAGCCTGTTGGGGCTTCATCATTGTTAACTAGCCTGTTGGGGAATCATCATTATTAACTAGCCTGTTGGGGAATCAACATTGTTAACTAGCCTGTTGGGGAATCATCATTGTTAACTAGCCTGTTGGTGTTGGGGAATCATCATTGTTAACTAGCCTGTTGGTGTTGGGGAATCATCATTGTTAACTAGCCTGTTGGTGTTGGGGCTTCATCATTGTTAACTAGCCTGTTGGGGAATCATCATTGTTAACTAGCCTGTTGGTGTTAGGGAATCATCATTGTTAACTAGCCCTGTTGGGGAATCATCATTGTTAACTAGCCTGTTGGGGAATCATCATTGTTAACTAGCCTGTTGGGGCTTCATCATTGTTAACTAGCCTGTTGGTGTTGGGGAATCATCATTGTTAACTAGCCTGTTGGTGTTGGGGAATCATCATTGTTAACTAGCCTGTTGGTGTTGGGGAATCATCATTGTTAACTAGCCTGTGTGTTGGGGAATCTCATTGTTAAGCCTGTTGGTGTTGGGGGAATCATCATTGTTAACTAGCCTGTTGGTGTTGGGGAATCATCATTGTTAACTACCCTGTGTGTTGGGGAATCATCATTGTTAACTAGCCGTTGGTGTTGGGGAATCATCATTGTTAACTAGCCTGTTGGGTTGGGGAATAAATCATTGTTAACTAGCCTGTTGGGGCTTTCTTGTAACTAGCCGTTGGGGAATCATCATTATTAACTAGCCTGTTGGGGAATCAACATTGTTAACTAGCCTGTTGGGGTAATCATCATTTAACTAGCCTGTTGGTGTTGGGGAATCACATTGTTAACAGCCTGTTGGGGGTTGGGGAATCATCATTGTTAAACTACCCTGTTGGTGTTGGGGTTAAATCTTTGGTTAACTAGCCTTTTTGGGGGAATCATCATTGTTAACTAGCCGTGGTGTTGGGAATCATCATTGTTAACTAGCCTGTTGGGGATCACATTGTTACTAGCCTGTTGGGGAATCATCATTGTTAACTAGCTAGCCTGTTGGGGAATCATCATTGTTAACTAGCCTGTTGGGGAATCATCATTGTTACTAGCCTGTTGGTGTTGGGGAATCATCATTGTTAACTAGCCTGTTGGTGTTGGGGCTTCATCATTGTTAACTAGCTGTTGGTGTTTAGGGAATCATCATTGTTAACTAGCCTGTTGGTGTTGGGGAATCATCATTGTTAACTAGCCTTGTTGGGAATCATTCATTGTTAACTAGCCTGTTGGTGTTGGGGGAATCATCATTGTTAACTAGCCTGTTGGTGTTGGGGAATCATCATTGTTAACTAGCCTGTTGGTGTTGGGGAATCATCATTGTTAACTAGCCTGTTGGTGTTGGGGAATCATCATTGTTAACTAGCCTGTTGGGTGGGGAATCATCATGTTAATAGCCTGTTGGTGTTGGGGAATCATCATTGTTAACTAGCCTGTTGGGGCTTCATCATTGTTAACTAGCCTGTTGGGGAATCAGCATTATTAACTAGCCTGTTTGGGGAATCAACATTGTTAACTAGCCTGTTGGGGAATCATCATTTTTTAACTACCCTTTTGGGTTTTGGGGGAATCATCATTGTTAATAGCCTTTTGGTGTTGGGGAATCATCATTGTTAACTAGCCTGTTGGTGTTGGGGCTTCATCATTGTTAACTAGCCTGTTGGGGAATAAATCATTGTTAACTACCCTGTTGGGTTAGGGAATCATCATTGTTAACTAGCCTGTTGGGGGAATCATCAATTGTTAACCTAGCCTGTTGGGGGGAATCATCATTGTTAACTAGCCTGTTGGTGTTGGGGAAATCATCATTGTTAACTAGCCTGTTGGTGTTGGGGAATCATCATTGTTAACTAGCCTGTTGGGAATCATCATTGTTAACTAGCCTGTTGGGGAATCATCATTGTTAACTAGCCTTTTGGTGTTTGGGCTTCATCATGTTAACTGGGCCGTTGGTGTTGGGGAATCATCATTGTTAACTAGCCGGGTTGGTGTTGGGGAATCACATTGTTAACTAGCCTGTTGGTGTTGGGGAATCATCATTGTTACTAGCCTGTTGGGGGAATCATCATTGTTAACTAGGCCTGTTGGGGAATCATCATTGTTTAACTAGCCTGTGGGTTGGGGAATCATCATTGTTAACTAGCCTGTTTGGTGTTGGGGGAATCATCATTGTTAACTAGCCTGTTGGTGTTAGGGCTTCATCATTGTTAACTAGTCCTGTTGGTGTTGGGGATCACATTGTTAACTAGCCTGTTGGTGTTGGGGATCACTCATTGTTAACTAGCCTGTTGGTGTTAGGGCTTCATCATTGTTAACTAGCCTGTTGGTGTTGGGGAATCACCATTGTTAACTAGCCTGTTGGTGTTGGGGAATCACCATAGTTAACTAGCCTGTTGGTGTTGGGGAATCATCATTGTTAACTAGCCTGTTGAGTGTGGGGCAATCATCATTGGTTACATAGCCTGTTGGTGTTTGGGGAATCATCATTGTTAACTAGCCTGTTGGTGTTGGGGAATCATCATTGTTAACTAGCCTGTTGGTGTTGGGGAATCATCATTGTTAACTAGCCTGTTGGGGAATCATCATTGTTAACTAGCCTGTTGGGGAATCATCATTGTTAACTAGCCTGTTGGGGAATCATCATTATTAACTAGCCTGTTGGTGTTGGGGAATCATCATTATTAACTAGCCTGTTGGGGAATCATCATTGTTAACTAGCCTGTTGGTGTTGGGGAATCATCATTGTTAACTAGCATGTTGGGGAATCATCATTGTTAACTAGCATGTTGGGGAATCATCATTGTTAACTAGCCTGTTGGGGAATCATCATTGTTAACTAGCCTGTTGGTGTTGGGGAATCATCATTATTAACTAGCCTGTTGGGGAATCATCATTGTTAACTAGCCTGTTGGGGAATCATCATTGTTAACTAGCCAGTTGGGGAATCATCATTGTTAACTAGCCTGTTGGGGAATCATCATTGTTAACTAGCCTGTTGGGGAATCATCATTATTAACTAGCCTGTTGGTGTTGGGGAATCATCATTATTAACTAGCCTGTTGGGGAATCATCATTGTTAACTAGCCTGTTGGTGTTAGGGCTTCATCATTGTTAACTAGCCTGTTGGTGTTAGGGAATCATCATTGTTAACTAGCCTGTTGGTGTTAGGGAATCATCATTGTTAACTAGCCTGTTGGGGAATCATCATTGTTAACTAGCCTGTTGGGGAATCATCATTGTTAACCAGCCTGTTGGGGAATCATCATTGTTAACTAGCCTGTTGGTGTTGGGGAATCATCATTGTTAACTAGCCTGTTGGGTTGGGAATCATCATTGTTAACTAGCCTGTTGGTGTTGGGGAATCATCATTGTTAACTAGCCTGTTGGTGTTGGGGAATCATCATTGTTAACTAGCCTGTTGGTGTTGGGGAATCATCATTGTTAACTAGCCTGTTGGTGTTGGGGAATCATCATTGTTAACTAGCCTGTTGGTGTTAGGGAATCATCATTGTTAACTAGCCTGTTGGTGTTAGGGAATCATCATTGTTAACTAGCCTGTTGGTGTTGGGCTTCATTGTTAACTAGCCTGTTGGTGTTGGGGCTTCATTGTTAACTAGACCGTTGGGGAATCATCATTGTTAACTAGCCTGTTGGGGAATCATCATTGTTAACTAGCCTGTTGGGGCTTCATCATTGTTAACTAGCCTGTTGGGGCTTCATCATTGTTAACTAGCCTGTTGGTGTAAGATCCCTGTATAAAACGCTGTAAGATCTTTGCTGTAATGTACATGTCAAAGAAGGACAAGAGCAGGCAAGCAACAGTTAATAGTGAAATATGGTTCATTTTGGGTGAACTGACTTTTAAGTATAAGGTTAATGCACCCAGGATTCCCTCTGCGTCTCAAACTCTAAAACATTCCACTGAATGCTTTCGTCACTTCCTAAATATATGCTAGACCTACTGCGTCTTTCACAACAAGGTAATATTGCTTTCGTGTGAGGTAGTCTGACATTTCAGTTTCAGTTTACTTTCCAAATTGACTGAATCGAAATGAACTTGACACCAAGTCCCCCAACCTTAGTGTTGTGCAGTGAGCCAGCCAGCCGGTCAGTGAGCCAGCCAGCCAGCCAGCCAGCCAGTGAGTCAGTCAGTCAGCCAGTGAGTCAGCCAGCCAGCCAGCCAGCCAGCCAGCCAGCCAGCCAGCCAGCCAGCCAGCCAGTGAGTCAGCCAGTCAGTGAGTCAGTGAGTCAGCCAGCCAGCCAGTGAGTCAGCCAGTGAGTCAGCCAGTCAGCCAGCCAGCCAGCCAGCCAGCCAGCCAGCCAGCGAGTCAGCCAGCCAGCCAGCGAGTCAGCCAGCCAGCCAGCCAGCCAGCCAGCGAGTCAGCCAGCCAGCCAGCGAGTCAGCCAGCCAGCCAGTGAGTCAGTCAGCACCAATCTGATACCTGGGGTTTGATAAGAACAGATTCCTGTCCAGATGTAGGTTAGTTAAGGATTGATATGAGTGCTTTTGGAAGTCACTTTGGAAGAAAAACGTCTGCTAAATGGCGCATATTATTTGTATTAATGGTGTCATTGCCTCTTGTCTGTCTGGCCCAGTACATCACTGGGGCCAAGCTTCCTGCCATCCAGGACCTCTATACCAGGCTCATTAACAGCTTCTACCCCCAAGCCATAAGACTGCTGAACAGTTATTCAAATGGCCACCTGGACTATTTACATTGCCCCCCCCCTACGGTTTTTACACTGCTGCTACTCGCTGTTTATTATCTATGCATAGTCACTTTACAAATTACCTGGACTAACCTGTACCCAGCACATTGACCCAGTACCGGTACCCTCTGTATATAGCCTCGTTATTACCTCAACTAACCTGTACCCAGCACATTGACTCGGTACCGGTACCCCCTGTATATAGCCTCGTTATTACCTCAACTAACCTGTACCGAGCACATTGACTCGGTACCGGTACCCCCTGTATATAGCCTCCAGCCCATTGACTCGGTACCGGTACCCCCTGTATATAGCCTCCAGCCCATTGACTCGGTACCGGTACCCCCTGTATATAGCCTGTATATTGACTCGGTACCGTACCCCTGTATATAGCCTCCAGCCCATTGACTCGGTACCGGTACCCCCTGTATATAGCCTCCAGCCCATTGACTCGGTACCGGTACCCCCTGTATATAGCCTCCAGCCCATTGACTAGGTACCGGTACCCCCTGTATATAGCCTCCAGCCCATTGACTAGGTACCGGTACCCCCTGTGTATAGCCTCCAGCCCATTGACTCGGTACCGGTACCCCCTGTATATAGCCTCCAGCCCATTGACTCGGTACCGGTACCCCCTGTATATAGCCTCCAGCCCATTGACTCGGTACCGGTACCCCCTGTATATAGCCTCCAGCCCATTGACCCGGTTACCGGTACCCCCTGTATATAGCCTCCAGCCCATTGACTAGGTACCGGTACCCCCTGTATATAGCCTCCAGCCCATTGACTCTGTACCGGTACCCCCTGTGTATAGCCTCCAGCCCATTGACTCTGTACCGGTACCCCCTGTGTATAGCCTCCAGCCCATTGACTCGGTACCGGTACCCCCTGTATATAGCCTCCAGCCCATTGACTCGGTACCGGTACCCCCTGTATATAGCCTCCAGCCCATTGACCCGGTACCGGTACCCCCTGTATATAGCCTCCAGCCCATTGACTCGGTACCGGTACCCCCTGTATATAGCCTCCAGCCCATTGACCCGGTACCGGTACCCCCTGTATATAGCCTCCAGCCCATTGACCCGGTACCGGTACCCCCTGTATATAGCCTCGTTATTGTTATTTTATTGTGTTACTTTTATATTATTTTTTACTTTAGTTTATTTAGTAAATATTTTCTTAACTCTTTCTTGAACTGCATTGTTGGTTAAGGGCTTGTAAGTAAGCATTTCACGGTAAGTTCTACACCTGTTGTATTCGGCGCACGTGACAAATAACATTTGATTTGATTTAATGTTGTATTAACTCCAGGCCTCGGGGAAAGGGTTTGTGCTGGTCCAGACCAAGGAAGTGTCCATGCGTCCCGAGGACGTCAGCAGAGGGTTCCAGAACGATGCAGAGGGACTCCTAGAGTGGATCACCAAGGGTAAGGAACACAAAGAATGGGTCCCAAATAGCAGCTTATTCCCTATATAGTGCACTACTTTTCACCAGGGCCCCAGTCAAAAGTAGTGCACTATATAGGGAATAGGGTGCCATTTGGGACGTAGACAATCCTCATATTATCATCTGGGTTAATCGTTCAATAGTAGGAATTAGACTAGGGCTGACATGAGTTGGCTGTTTCTGGTTCTCTGTGATGTATGATGACCTTTGAATCAAGAGAAAGGGGGGAATAAAAATCGTCATAGCTGAAGGAAAGAATTGCGTTAGTGAAAGAGTTTATTTAGTGCTTATGATGATTAGGCAAGCATCTCTTCTCTTCCACAGGGCCAGTGACAGCTCTGGAGTTGAATGGGGACGGGGTAGTAGAGGCCTGTAAGGCCATGTCCAGGGACATGTTCAGTGGAACCAAGGTAACAGCGCTCCAGACAAAAACATTTATTGTTTTAATGTCAATGAGACTAACCTGGTGAAATTACATTTAAAAAAATATTTTATCAGTTGTACTGAAAGTTTTTGTCAGAACTGTACTAGCTAATAAAATAGTAGCTGAATGTGAAGTAACTCTTGTTTTCTGTCCTGTATGTGAAGTAAGTCTTGTTTTCTGTCCTGTTCTCTGCAGGTGTTTGTTTCAGACAACAGAAATACTTCCTCTCGAGACGTGAACAACTTCTTCAACTTCGCTGACATGCAGATGGGCTTGTGATTGAATCACTGCATTATAATCAAAACAAACTACACAACTGATGATTTTTTATTTTTTGTTGGCATTATTGAGACTTGATATACTAGTAGGTAGCAGAGAGGACAGGTTAATCAGCATAGTGATGGTAGGTAGCAGAGAGGACAGGTTAATCAGCATAGTGATGGTAGGTAGCAGAGAGGACAGGTTAATCAGCATAGTGATGGTAGGTAGCAGAGAGGACAGGTTAATCAGCATAGTGATGGTAGGTAGCAGAGAGGACAGGTTAATCAGCATAGTGATGGTAGGTAGCAGAGAGGACAGGTTAATCAGCATAGTGATGGTAGGTAGCAGAGAGGACAGGTTAATCAGCATAGTGATGGTAGGTAGCAGAGAGGACAGGTTAATCAGCATAGTGATGGTAGGTAGCAGAGAGGACAGGTTAATCAGCATAGTGATGGTAGGTAGCAGAGAGGACAGGTTAATCAGCATAGTGATGGTAGGTAGCAGAGAGGACAGGTTAATCAGCATAGTGATGGTAGGTAGCAGAGAGGACAGGTTAATCAGCATAGTGATGGTAGGTAGCAGAGAGGACAGGTTAATCAGCATAGTGATGGTAGGTAGCAGAGGAGGACAGGTTAATCAGCATAGTGATGGTAGGTAGCAGAGAGGACAGGTTAATCAGCATAGTGATGGTAGGTAGCAGAGAGGACAGGTTAATCAGCATAGTGATGGTAGGTAGCAGAGAGGACAGGTTAATCAGCATAGTGATGGTAGGTAGCAGGAGAGACAGGTTAATCAACATAGTGATGGTAGGTAGCAGAGAGGACAGGTTAATCAACATAGTGATGGTAGGTAGCAGAGAGGACAGGTTAATCAGCATAGTGATGGTAGGTAGCAGAGAGGACAGGTTAATCAGCATAGTGATGGTAGGTAGCAGAGAGGACAGGTTAATCAGCATAGTGATGGTAGGTAGCAGAGAGGACAGGTTAATCAGCATAGTGATGGTAGGTAGCAGAGAGGACAGGTTAATCAGCATAGTGATGGTAGGTAGCAGAGAGGACAGGTTAATCAGCATAGTGATGGTAGGTAGCAGAGAGGACAGGTTAATCAGCATAGTGATGGTAGGTAGCAGAGAGGACAGGTTAATCAGCATAGTGATGGTAGGTAGCAGAGAGGACAGTTTAATCAACATAATAGCAGATAATCCTGGGGGACACCAAGGGGTGAACATTTTGTTTTTTGCCCTGAAACTACACAGCTGGCCTGCGCTCTGTATGAAAAAACGTAATGCAACATTCAATTAAATGGGAACGGTGCAGTTCTGAACGACCAGTTGAAAAATAGGGAGGGGTTGGGTTGTGGGTTCAAAATGCACCGCTACCCTTAAAATATGTCACTCATTGCTTCAAGCCGCACCCCACCACACCCACCAAACGGAGCAAATGTACCTCAAATCTGTTCAAGAACGTTTTGGGTGAAACATGTTCTGTGGCCGTTATGCAACGTAGCAAACGTTCAATCGAACTGAAAGCAGCCCTAGTGCAAATAATTGACTCATCATCAAGCTTTGATTATTGGAAGCAGATTTGTAGTTCTAGGGCAAAAAGCAAAACGTGCAGCCAGGGAGTCCCAAAGACCGAGTTGGGAAATGCTGCATTAGTTATTAGTTATATGAATTTCTTGAATGTATTCTATCTTGTTATACAGTGGGGGAAAAAAGTATTTAGTCAGCCACCAATTGTGCAAGTTCTCCCACTTAAAAAGATGAGAGAGGCCTGTAATTTTCATCATAGGTACACGTCAACTATGACAAACAAATTGAGATTTTTTTTCTCCAGAAAATCACATTGTGGGATTTTTTATGAATTTATTTGCAAATTATGGTGGAAAATAAGTATTTGGTCACCTACAAACAAGCAAGATTTCTGGCTCTCACAGACCTGTAACTTCTTCTTTAAGAGGCTCCTCTGTCCTCCACTCGTTACCTGTATTAATGGCACCTGTTTGAACTTGTTATCAGTATAAAAGACACCTGTCCACAACCTCAAACAGTCACACTCCAAACTCCACTATGGCCAAGACCAAATAGCTGCCAAAGGACACCAGAAACAAAATTGTAGACCTGCACCAGGCTGGGAAGACTGAATCTGCAATAAGTAAGCAGCTTGGTTTGAAGAAATCAACTGTGGGAGCAATTATTAGGAAATGGAAGACATACAAGACCACTGATAATCTCCCTCGATCTGAGGCTACACGCAAGATCTCACCCCGTGGGGTCAAAATGATCACAAGAACGGTGAGCAAAAATCCCAGAACCACACAGGGGGACCTAGTGAATGACCTGCAGAGAGCTGGGACCAAAGTAACAAAGCCTACCATCAGTAACACACTACGCCACCAGGGACTCAAATCCTGCAGTGCCAGACATGTCCCCCTGCTTAAGCCAGTACATGTCCAGGCCCGTCTGAAGTTTGCTAGAGTGCATTTGGATGATCCAGAAGAGGATTGGGAGAATGTCATATGGTCAGATGAAACCAAAATATAACTTTTTGGTAAAAACTCAACTCGTCGTGTTTGGAGGACAAAGAATGCTGAGTTGCATCCAAAGAACACCATACCTACTGTGAAGCATGGGGGTGGAAACGTCATGCTTTGGGGCTGTTTTTCTGCAAAGGGACCAGGACGACTGATCCGTGTAAAGGAAAGAATGAATGGGGCCATGTATCGTGAGATTTTGAGTGAAAACCTCTTTCCATCAGCAAGGGCATTGAAGATGAAACGTGGCTGGGTCTTTCAGCATGACAATGATCCCAAACACACCGCCCGGGCAACGAAGGAGTGGCTTCGTAAGAAGCATTTCAAGGTCCTGGAGTGGCCTAGCCAGTCTCCAGATCTCAACCCCATAGAAAATCTTTGGAGGGAGTTGAAAGTCTGTGTTGCCCAGCGACAGCCCCAAAACATCACTGCTCTAGAGGAGATCTGCATGGAGGAATGGGCCAAAATACCAGCAACAGTGTGTGAAAACCTTGTGAATACTTACAGAAAACATTTGACCTGTGTCATTGCAACAAAGGGTATATAACAAAGTATTGAGAATGTTTTGTTATTGACCAAATACTTATTTTCCACCATAATTTGCAAATAAATTCATTAAAAATCCTACAATGTGATTTTCTGGAATTTGTTTTCTCATTTTGTCTATCATAGTTGACGTGTACCTATGATGAAAATTACAGGCCTCTCTCATCTTTTTAAGTGGGAGAACTTGCACAATTGGTGGCTGACTAAATACCACTGTAATGTGTTTGGGGGGGGACACCACTGTAATGTGTTTGGGGGGAGACACCACTGTAAATGTGTTGGGGGTGGGAGACACCAACTGGGGGTGAGACACCACTGTAATGTTGTTTGTGGGGGGGTGTTGGGGGGCTGTGACTTTTTATTTGTGTCAAGTTGGATTCTGATTTTATTCCTTCTAATGTATTTTTGTGTTCTACTCTCAAGTTTGTGAATATGTTATTGAAAAGCCAGCCAGAATGTGCACCAATCAGCTTTCAAGACTACACCCATTATGTAAATAATAATTTCACATATTTTAGTTTTTTTTGGGGGGGGGGGGGGGGGGGGGGGGGGGTGAAATAAAATTAAATAGATTTTCTTAGAAAATATTTTGAATGTATTGCAAAGAGGAGATGTAGGTGGTAATGTTTAAATGGCACCCTGTGCCTCTACTTTTGACCAGAGTAGTACACTATAAAGGGACTAGGTGTCCATATTTGACCTGAGTTACACTATAAGGACTGTCCATTGGACGAGAGTAGTACACTATAAAGGGACTAGGGTGCCATTTGGACCAGAGTAGTACACTATAAGACTAGTGCATTGGACAGAGTAGTACACTATAAAGGGACTAGGGTGCCATTTGGACCAGAGTAGACACTAAAGGACTAGGTGCCATTTGGACCAGAGTAGTACACTATAAAGGGACTAGGGTGCCATTTGGACCAGAGTAGTACACTATAAAGGGACTAGGGTGCCATTTGGACCAGAGTAGTACACTATAAAGGGACTAGGGTGCCATTTGGACCGGAGTAGTACACTATAAAGGGACTAGGGTGCCATTTGGACCGGAGTAGTACACTATAAAGGGACTAGGGTGCCATTTGGGAAGCACAATATACTTTAACATTTGTATTTGTTGAAGGAATGATTGGACTTTGTATTGCTAAATGTTTCCTATTGTATCTGCTTCTGTAGAATCAAATGTAACATGTCATTACTAATATATTAAAGATCCATTTGTATGTGGTGTGTTTGAAACTTTAGTGTGGGAGATGTTTCTGTTTCTACTTTCTCAGGTTTCCTTCCAATTAGCGACCGATTTTTCATGTGAATATTCTAGAATCCGTATAATGAAAATATCTACATTTTCCCACCAGTGGTGTGTTTCCACCAAATGGACTTGTTGCGGATCGAAATCAGTGTGTGATGATGACATCTAAAGTTCATCGCATTTTCAACTCTACTGATAGTTGTATCATAAAAACTGTTGTTAAATAGCAAATGTGCCCACTCTGGTTCTGGTAAGTGCACAATAGCCAACAGCTGGCAGGTAGACTAGTCCAGGGGTGTGTGTATATATATATATATATATAATAGCCAACAGCTGGCAGATACAGTGGGGCTAGACTAGTCCAGGGGTTCCCAAACGTTTTCACTCGGAGCCCCCCCCCCCGCGCACGCGCCACGTCTATTTCTGTGGGCACAAGCACTGTCCATGAATCAAACTGTTCACACCCCTCTGGTTGGTGGAGAGAATTTTGAAGGTTTAAAGCTTATTACCTGCAATTCTACACATTTTGTCATTGGATGCAAAGAAAATGTAGCTGCTTTAAAGCTAATTTGCTTGCAAGTCTATACATTTTTGCCATGCTATGGGCAAAAAAAAAAAAACGAAATTAAAAAACGTTAGCTGACATGGGCTTGTTGATCTGGACATTTCAGACCAGTTATAAATATCTCTCTAAGGTCTGAAATGACTAACTTGACAAGAGGAACTGATTATCGCATTCTACTATTACAACTTTCAGGAGTAAGTTTAAAGCCGGACTGAGTTCCTTTAAAAACTTTTTTAAACCCGCGCCCTCCCTCACAGTTTGGGAACCACAGGGCTAGTCTACATGATGAGATTATTATCGATAATATTTTTATTTGTCAAACAGCAGTAAAGCATCGATCGTCATGTCACCAGAATAAGACCCTCGATTTATTGGAAAGGAGCATCACCGTGTACTTTCACCACCCTGTGAAGTTCATCACTTATTTAATCTGTAGCCTAATAAACTGCATGGTTTCCTGAGTCCTAGTGGGAGGACCACACACCATGTCATCGTGTGACTCCAAGTTTGCTTTGATATGATGGTGATTATATCAATATTTGCGCATAAAGACGTTTCCATTGCCATTTCTTGCATAATACATTTCACCGACACAAAAAGGTCTCACCATGTCGAAAGAAAAAATGATCTGTCGGCATTTATAACATTTTACCGAAACTTCCTGTTTCCAATATAGCTGTCTTGCATGACTTTACACGCATAAAGTCGCACTGTATGAAAATGTATGCACTCACTAAATGTAAGTCACTCTGGATAAGAGCGTCTGCTAAATGACTTGGCTCTGTCATATCCTCACATGGCCTCTCCTATCATTGCTACGCAGACGACACACAACTAATCTTCTCCTTTCCCCCTTCTGATAACCAGGTGGCGAATCGCATCTCTGCATGTCTGGCAGACATATCAGTGTGGATGACGGATCACCACCTCAAGCTGAACCTCGGGAAGACGGAGCTGCTCTTCCTCCCGGGGAAGGACTGCCCGTTCCATGATCTCGCCATCACGGTTGACAACTCCATTGTGTCCTCCTCCCAGAGTGCAAAGAGCCTTGGCGTGACCCTGGACAACACCCTGTCGTTCTCCGCTAACATCAAGGCGGTGACCCGATCCTGTAGGTTCATGCTCTACAACATTCGGAGAGTACGACCCTGCCTTACACAGGAAGCGGCACAGGTCCTAATCCAGGCACTTGTCATCTCCCGTCTGGATTACTGCAACTCGCTGTTGGCTGGGCTCCCTGCCTGTGCCATTAAACCCCTACAACTTATCCAGAACGCTGCAGCCCGTCTGGTGTTCAACCTTCCCAAGTTCTCTCACGTCACCCCGCTCCTCTGCACACTCCACTGGCTTCCAGTTGAAGCTCGCATCTGCTACAAGACCATGGTGCTTGCCTACGGAGCTGTGAGGGGAACGGCACCTCCGTACCTTCAGGCTCTGATCAGTCCCTACACCCAAACGAGGGCATTGCGTTCATCCACCTCTGGCCTGATGGCTCCCCTACCTCTGCGGAAGCACAGTTCCCGCTCAGCCCAGTCAAAACTGTTCGCTGCTCTGTCACCCCAATGGTGGAACAAAATGGTGTCACCCCCCCAAAAAAAACCATATTGTAAAGTGGTTATCCCACTGGCTATAAGACGAATGCACCAATTTGTAAGTCGCTCTGGATAAGAGCGTCTGCTAAATCACGTAAATGTAATAAAAACTGTGGATGGAAATGTGGTTTATTCTACGAATTCCCTGGCGGTGAATGTTTTTTTTCTTCAGTACAGTATAGTCATTCAGCACATCTTATCCAGAGCAATTAGGGTTAAGTGCCTTGCTCAAGGGCACATTATTTTACCTAGTTGGCTTGGGGATTCGAACCTGCGACCTTTCGGTTACTGGCCCAACGCTCTTAACCACTAAGCCACCTGCTGCCCGTAGAATGTTTGTAAGTGAGGACTTAGGGTTCTTTATTTTACCAGGTAAGTTGATTGAGAACACGTTCTCATTTACAGCAACGACCTGGGGAATAGTGACAGGGGAGGATGAATGAGCCAATTGGAAGCTGGGGTTGATTAGGTGGCCATGATGGTATATATTGGGAATTTAGCCAGGACACCGGGGTTAACACCCCTACACTTACGATAAGTGCCATGGGATCTTTAGTCACAGAGAGTCAGGACACCCATTTAATGTCCCATCCGAAAGACGGCACCCTACACAGGGCAATGTCCCCAATCACTGCCCTGGGGCATTGGGATATTTTATTTTAGACCAGAGGAAAGTGTGCATCCTACTGGCCATCCAACACCACTTCCAGCAGCATCTGGTCGCCCATCCAGGACCAACCCTGCTTAGCTTCAGAGGCAAGCCAGCAGTGGGATGCAGGGTGGTACGCTGCTGGCCAGCAGTGGGATGCAGGGTGGTATGCTGCTGGCCAGCAGTGGGATGCAGGGTGGTATGCTGCTGGCCAGCAGTGGGATGCAGGGTGGTATGCTGCTGGCCAGCAGTGGATGCAGGGTGGTATGCTGCTGGCCAGCAGTGGGATGCAGGGTGGTATGCTGCTGGCCAGCAGTGGGATGCAGGGTGGTACGCTGCTGGCCAGCAGTGGGATGCAGGGTGGTTGATGCTGCTGGCCAGCAGTGGGATGCAGGGTGGTACGCTGCTGGCCAGTGCCCTGAGAGGTTACTAGGGGTCCGGACATCTGGCCATCCTCTTGACTGTACAGGCCACACAGTACTGTCCGTCTTCCTCAAGCAGTGGCAGAGAGCAACATGTCTCTGCCCATCAATAACTAGACTCACTCATATCTCTGGACTTGTGGGATGGTGTGCGTGGCCAAAGTGAGTTGTGTGACGTATATATTGTTCTCAATAGTTAGTTGTTGTTGCATTATGTATGCTTACACCGTATAGCTTGTAACCTGTAAACATGTTCAGGGATGATATGTCATTTATATAGTCCTTTATTACTGTTAATACAGCTCGTCATATCGTATGTACAGTATATTCATATTCAGTATAGTTCCTGTGTGTTAATGCTTGGGCTGCTTTATTCCCCTCTAACAGTGTCAGTGGGTCAGAACTAGTAAAATACATAGAGTCCCATGGGGGGGCCAAATAATCACCACCGGGCGGAGTCTAGGACCCACCGGGCGCCAGTTGGGAAACCCTGATCAACACAGCACTAAACCGGGCGGAGTCTAGGACCCAGCGTGGCAGCCCTAAACCGGGCGGAGTCTAGGACCCAGCGTGGGCGTGTCGAAAGGAGTGGGCGTTGAATGCGCTCTGCTATAGGTCAGATGGTTAGGAGTGGGTGTTGAATGCGCTCTGCTATAGGTCAGATGGTTAGGAGTGGGCGTTGAATGCGCTCTGCTATAGGTCAGATGGTTAGGAGTGGGTGTTGAATGCGCTCTGCTATAGGTCAGATGGTTAGGAGTGGGCGTTGAATGCGCTCTGCTATAGGTCAGATGGTTAGGAGTGGGTGTTGAATGCGCTCTGCTATAGGTCAGATGGTTAGGAGTGGGTGTTGAATGCGCTCTGCTATAGGTCAGATGGTTAGGAGTGGGTGTTGAATGCGCTCTGCTATAGGTCAGATGGTTAGGAGTGGGCGTTGAATGCGCTCTGCTATAGGTCAGATGGTTAGGAGTGGGTGTTGAATGCGCTCTGCTATAGGTCAGATGGTTAGGAGTGGGTGTTGAATGCGCTCTGCTATAGGTCAGATGGTTAGGAGTGGGCGTTGAATGCGCTCTGCTATAGGTCAGATGGTTAGGAGTGGGTGTTGAATGCGCTCTGCTATAGGTCAGATGGTTAGGAGTGGGCGTTGAATGCGCTCTGCTATAGGTCAGATGGTTTTGATTTAGTGTTTTTTTTTCTTCAGTTTATTACCAATTACCAATTACCGTACCGCGAGAGTTTGAACTTCTGTTTTTCAGCCAGAGTATTAGTCTGAGACATATTTCACTGTTAGTTCTACACAAATAATTGTACACTGAACAAGAATATAAACACAACATGCAACAATTTCATAGATTTTACTGAGTTACAGTTCATATAAAACTGAGTCAGTTGAAATAAATTCATTAGGCCCTAATCTATGGATTTCACACGACTGGGAATACAGATATGCATCTGTTGGTCACAGGTACCTTTAAAAAAATGGGCCTCAGGATCTCGTCATGGTATTTTTGTGCATTCAAATTGCCATCGATAAAATGCAATTGTGTTCGTTGTCTGTAGCTTATGCCTGCCCATACCATAACCCCACTGCCACCATGGGGCACTCTGTTCACAACGTTGACATCAGCAAACTGCTCGCCTACAAAAAGCCATACACGTGGTCTGCGGTTGTGAGGCCGGTTGGACATACTAACAAATTCTCTAAAACGACGTTGGAGGCGGCTTATGGTATAGAAATTAACATTCAATTCTCTGGCAACAGCTCTGGTGGACATTCCTGCAGTCAGAATGCCAATTGCATGCTACCTCAATACTTAAAAGACATCTGTGGCATTGTGTTGTGGGACAAAACTGCACATTTTAGAGTGGCCTTTTATTGTCCCCAGTACAAGGTGCATCTGTGTAATGATCATGCTGTTTAATCAGCTTCTTGATATGCCACACCTGTCACGTGGATGGATTATCTTGGCAAAGGAGAAATGCTCACTAACAGGGACGTAAACAAATTTGAGAGAAATAAGCTTTTTGTGCGTATGGAAAATTTCTGGGATCTTTTATTTCAGCTCATGAAACATGGGACCAACATTTTACATGTTGCTTTATATAACTGACGATTGTTATTGATGATGAGTGTACTGTTGCTTCATGCTTTGTATGCCTTACTTGAAATAAAATTGTGTGAGAGAAAAAAATTGCCACGTTAGCTACCTCCGGCTACACGACAGTGATACCACGGATAGAACAACGAGACCGATATTTCACCGGATGTATAAATGTGAAGCATCCGCTTGGCGTTTTCACTCACTACCAAATAGTGAGCGGAAGCCCAGTGGCCGGCAGTGGAACAACATGGATTTTTACTTGACCCTTTGCCAAAGCTTTTAAAAATGGCGTTGTTTAGCAGGCGTGCAAAGGCGAATTGAGTTATTGCACACACGCGCTTAACACAGTAGGCGTTCCCTAAGAAAAATGCAAATATTGGCTATAACGCGCCAATAGGATCTCGCTAGCTCGCACTTGGCTCCGCCCACTATGACTCATTTGTTCCAATTTCAAACGATGGGCTGTGGTCTATCTTGGTTTAGTTATACAAATGTTTTGTGATACCCAGTAAGAAGCACTTTAAGTCGGCAGGCAGGCGGATACAACGCAGCCACGTAAAACGTTCTTGAGTGGAAAAACATCTGTCCAATTAGCTGATTCGCTTTCCATACACCCACTCCTTTCGACAAACCCACTCGCCCATTCTCTGGTCGCCATATTGGGCTGCAGCTACCCATACTTGGACAGGGTGGTCCCACAGATAGAACAATGAGACAGATATTTCACTGGATGTATAAATGTGAAGCATCCGAATATCCAAATATGGTAGTGAGAGGAAGCCCAGTGGCCGGCAGTGGGAGAAGATGGAACGAGATGGATTTTGGCCTACATTCTGCTAATTTTCTCATCGATTAAATATTTGATCTCAATACAGTATTCTGTTCCCAAAACTAAAATATGTTACGAACACAGTGGACTAACTTTTGTAGACTTTACCCTTTGCCAAAGTTTTTTTTTTTTAATGGTGTTGTTTAGGAGTGAAAATGCGAATTGAGTTATTACACACTCGCACTCCACATAATAGGCGTTTCCTAACGGACATATGCAAATATTGTCTATAACGCGCCAATAGGATCTCGCTAGCTGGTGCTTGGCTCCGCCCGCTATGACTCATTTGTTCCCGTTTGAAACGACAGGCTGTGGTCTATCTTGGTTTACTTATATCCCGTCTTTGGCGGTACTCAATAGGGCAGTTGGTGAGGAGAGGTTACAGCTAGTTACGGGAAATATTCAGTGTGTGGAAAAAAATATATAATACAGGAAAAATAGTTTTACTAAGAGTGC